GACTGAAGAAACATCAGCTCACACAGATGAGAAAGAACCAGCACAAGAACTCTGACAAATCAAAAAGTCAGACCATCTTCTTACTTCCAAACAATGGTGGCACTAGTTTCCCAGAAATTGTTCTTAACCAGACTGAAATGACAGAAATATAATTCAGAATATGGATAGGAACCTAGATCATGGAGATTCAGGAGAAAATTGAAACCCAATCCAATGATTCTAAGGAATACAATAAGACAACGTGAAAGATTAAATGGCCATTTTAACAAAGAACCAAACTGATCTGATAGAACTGAAAAGCTCACTGCAAGAATTTCACAGAACAATCACAAGTATTAACAGCAGAATTGACCACACTGAGGAAAAAACTTCAGAGCGTGAAGACTGATTCTCCAAAATAACTCAGTCAGACAAAAATAAAGAAAAAAGAATATGAAAGAATTGACAAAACCCCCAAGAAATACGGTATTATGTAAAGAGACCAAATCTACAATTTATTGGCATTCTCAAAAGAGAGAGAGAAAGTAAGCAACTTGGAAAACATATTTGAGGATATTGTTCATAAAAATTTCCTCAACCTTGCCAGAGAGGCCAGCATTCAAATTCAGAGAATGCAGAGAACCCCTGTGAGATACTAGACAAGGTTACCGTCACTAAGATACATAGTCATCAGATTCTACAGGGTTGAGGAAACTGGCAGATAGGTGGCAGGACTAACATGCAACTCCCTCATGGATGGACACAGTAGTGGAGACTCACACAATTAACTTTTGCTCCAAGAACTGCTGCAGGAACACACCAGGAAAGGAAGAGAATCCACAGACCACTTTGAAAGAGGCAGCTTACCACTGCAGTCCCCAGGAGACAGCTGAAAAACTGTGAGTGTCCGAAGTGTGTAAGGGAAAACATCCATCCCCAAACATACATCCTCACTGGGAAAACTGAAAGTCCAGATCACAGCAGGAGTATTTGGCCTTACCTGGGGCTGAAGCAGAATTAGAAAGCTAAGCAAAAAATGCAGGGAGAGGAAGCAGTAGGAAGAGCCCTGTGGGCACTCTCCGTCTCCAGGGAAGCCGTTTCTGACTTTGTCTCCCAGAGGTCTTTGGGAAGGACTGCCAGTATAATTGGGGAAACACCACAGAGAGAAGGAAACTTCCAGGTGAACTTTGTAATAATTTTGACTGAACGTGAAGTTTCCTGGACGGAATCTGAAAAAGGGGGTAAACGCGGAATGCAGATACAAGCACAGAAGCCACAGCAGGTTGGGGGGGGTGCAAAACCTGAAAGCCCTGTTTGCTTTTTCAGTGGGAAGGCTTGTGGCCTGGGGCAACATCTCAGTCCTGCTTCTGACTGCCCAGAAATAAACTTAGTGCTGTTGCAGAGGCATGATGGGAGTGAGACTGGCCTTGCAGGCTGTGCGGGAATTGTGTGAGACCTGTTACTTGCCTGATTGCCCTGGCTGGAACTTCCAATACTATGTTGAATAGAAACACATCCCTTGCTCATAGGTGGGTAGAATCAATTGTGAAAATGACCATACTGCCAAAAGCAACTTTCAGATTCAATGCAATTCTCATCAAAATATCACCATCATTCTTCACAGAACTAGAAAAAACAATCCTCAAATTCATATGAAACCAAAAAAGAACCTGCATTGCTAAAGCAAGACGAAACAAAAAGAACAAATCTGGAGGCATCACATTACCAGACTTCGAAGTATGCTATTAAGGCCATAGTCATCAAAACAGTATTGTACTTGTAATAAAAATAGGCACATAGACCAATGGAACAGAATAAAGAACTCAGAAGTAAACCCAAATACTTAGAGCCAACTGATATTTGACAAAACGAACAAAAACATAAAGTAGGGAAAGGATACCCTGTTCAACAAATGATGCTGGGATCACTGGCAAGTCATATGTAGAAGAATGAAACTGGATTCTAATCTCTCACCTTATACAAAAATCAACTCAAGATTGATCAAAGACTTAAATCTAAGAGTTAAAACCATAAAAATTCTAGAAGATATCATTGGAAAAACTGTTCTAGACATTGGCTTAGGCAAAGACTTCATGACCAAGAACCCAAAAGCAAATGCAACAAAAACAAAGATAAATAGAGGGACTTAATTTGACTAAAAAGTTTCTACACAGGGAAAGAAATAATCAGCAGAGTAAACAGACAACCCATAGAGTGAGAGAAAATCTTCGCAAACTTTGCATCAAACAAAGGACTAATATCCAGAATCTACAAGTAACTCAAACAAATCAGCAAGAAAAAAATAATAATAATCCCATCAAAAAGTGAGTTAAGGACATGAATAGACAGTTCTCAACAGAAGATATACAAATGACCAACAAACATGAAAAAATGCTCAGCATCACTAATTATCAGGGAAATGCAAATCAAAACCACAATGAAATATCACCTTACTCCCGCAAGAATGTCCATAATGAAAAAATAATAGATGGGCCAGGCGCGGTGGCTTACACCTGTAATCCCAACACTTTGGGAGCCCAAGGCAGGCAGATCACCTGAGGTCAGGAGTTCGAGACCAGCCTGGCCACATGGTGAAATCCTCTCTCTTCTAAAAATACAAAAATTACCCAGGTGTGGTGGCACGTATCTGTAGTCCCAGCTACTTGGGAGGCTGAGGCAGGAGAATTGCTTGAACTCAGGAGGCAAAGGTTGCAGTGAGCTAAGATCATGCCACTGCACTCCAGCCTGGGCAACAGAGCAAGACTCTATCTCCAAAAATAATAATAATAGATGTTGGCATGGATGGGGCAGAAAGAGAACACTTTCACACTGCTGGTGGGAATGTAAATCACTGTGGAAAACAGTGTGGGTATTCCTTAAAGAACTAAAAGTAGATTTACCATGTGATCCAGCAATCCCATTACTGGGTATCTACCCAGAGGAAAAGAAGTCAATATATGAAAAAATTTTGCAATTGAAAAAAATATGAAACCAGAACAAACGCCCATCTGTCAAAGAGTGGATAAAGAAACTGTGGTATACATATATGTGAGATGGAATACTACTCAGCCATAAAAAGGAACAAATTAATGGCATTCACAGTAACCTGGATCAGATTGGAGACCATTATTCTAAGTGAAGTAACTCAGGAATGGAAAACCAACATCTACCAGAGGCCCATCTTACATGCAATGACACCCATAGGCTCAAAGTAAAGGGATGGAGAAAAATCTACCACGTAAAGGAAAACAGAAAAAAAGCAAAGATTGCTATCCTAATTTCAGACAAAATTAAAGCAACAACAATCAAAAAAGACAAAGAAAGGCATAAAATAATGGTAAAGGGAGTTCAACTGAACAAGAAGACCTAACTATCCTATATAATCTCTTTAAATATAAATATATAGGATAGTTAGATCTTCTTGTTCATATATATATATATAATATATATATAAACCCAGATTTATAAATCAAGTTCTTAGAAACCTATGAAAGATTTAGACAGTCATATAATAATGGTGGGAGACTTCAACACCCCACTGTCAGTATTAGACGGAACATCAAGGATGAAAACTAACAAAGATATTAGGGACCTGAACTCAAAACTTGATCAATAGGAATGAACAGAACTCTCCATCCCAAAACAACAGAATTTACATTCTTCTTAACTGTACATGGCACGTACTCTAAAACTGATCACACAATCAGCAATAAAACAACCCTCAGCAAATTAAAAAACAAAAACAAAATTATACCAACCACATTCTTGGACCACAGCTCAATAAAAATAGAAATCAATACTTTAAAAATTGCTCAAAACCATACAATCACATGGAAATTAAACAACCTGCTTCTGAATGACTTTGGGTACAATGAAAAGGACAATGTACAATTGTCATTTGGTACAATGACAATGAAATTAAGGCAGCAATCAAGAAACTCTTTAAGAATAAATAAATTCTCAGAAAGAATAAAGATACAACATACCAGAATCTCTGGGCACAGCTAACGCATGTTAAAATCCCAGAGTAGAAAGAAAAGCAACTCCAAGCCAGACTCATCAACACACCAGAGTTGAAGGCCAGGGCAAGGAATGTAGGTGTCCCAGTGCCTGGCACCAGTTCCACCATTCGAGGTGGCCTTGGACTGGCATACGAAGCCTTAAAGTTAGCCAAGGGCTAGGCAGGATGGAGGCAGGGAGAGAAGGCGGGCTGACCTGCGTTCCAGTCCCTATGCAAACCTGGAAGGTGAGCAGGGAGAAGAACCCCTGATGCCACCCCATGCCGGCTCCGACCGGCAGGCTGACAGGCGGGCAGTCATTGTGGGACTTTAAGCAGAGTGGAGGTTTGATTTATAAAACTTCTGCCTGAAATATTCGCTTTTTTTCCACCCTCAACCTCTTCCCATCCTAACTCATTCTTCACGCTTCTTCATGGATGAGATTTTCTTCCATCTGTACGGATACCCCTCATTGTTTAGGTTAGGTGGCCTCCCTCTCCTCTTCTCACTCACGGCTTAGTACCTTTGGTCATCATAATACCTCCCGTTTTGTATAGTTAATTGCCTCTCCTTTCTCCTTCACCATCCTGTAAGTACTCATTCATCCCCAGCCCCAGTGCCCAGCACAGTACCTGCTTCAAAATATCAACTTGCTGTACTAATGGAGGATAAATGGATTAATGTTTACTTTTTAGCTATTTCATATTCATTTTATATTTAGCTCTTATTACATATTACATATTTAGATTTTATTCAATTAGCTTTCTTGTTCTCCCCCTAACTACTGAGTAAAGTTCCTTTTGAAAACGTCAGCCTGGCTCTGTTGGACAGGGAGAAAGAAGAAAAGATAATTTTAAACAGCTTAGAAGGAAAATTAAAGATAGAGAAGCTTTCCCCTCCCCCCCCCAACCTCTCTCTCCCCTCGCATCCCCTTCCCTCTGCCTTTTCCTCCCTCTCTCTGTCAGCTCTTTGAGACGGTGGAAGCCTCAAGGAGAGATCCAAGGTGGAGGAGGCATTCCCTTCCACAAAGCCCTCCTGTGCAGCCGCTCTAAATAAAGGGACGCTGCTCTCTTCAAGGCATCTCTGGAGTTTTCTATGCAGTGTTTACGGGTGCGTGGGAGAACCTGGCAAAGCAATGTGCGGTTCCTATATACGCTAAAATCCCAGGCTCCGAAAAAAACAGAGTGAACCAGCAGATTCCCCTCCCCGGCGTGGGATCCAATTTTTGCCCAGCATAAGTGTGCGGTAAATTTCTCAGCCTTAAAGCGCTTCCCGAGAGATGGTTTGAGCGCTAGCGGTACGGATGCGTAAACGCCGCTCCCGAGCGGGCGCGGGCCGGAGCCAACTCCAACCTGCGGCAAGTGTTTACTGCTGGTCCGCGCTCGTGTCCCACAGCTGCGAGTCCCCGCAGTGAAAGGAGGGGGCAGGGCACAGGAGTAGATGGCGCTCTGGGGACTCCCGGGGTTCAGTTTTCCGCGGAACTCGAAAGGCCTGCAGCAGTCTGGCGGGAACACGCCGCGGAGCTCATTCCATCTTGGCTTCTCCAAAATGGTTCACACGGACTGGCGAGTCTTTCCCCTGCCTCCTCCAAGTGTCTGGCACCAGTTCTACCGTTTGAAATGGTCTTGGACTGGGATGTGAGGCCTCAAAGTCACGAGAGGGCAGGGCAGGATGGAGGTGGGGAGAAAAGGCGGGCTGACCCGTCCTCCAGCCCGTATGCAAAGCTGGAAGGGGAACGGGGAGAAGGACCACCGATGCCACCTCGGGCCCGGCTCTGACCTGCAGGTTTGGCAGGCGCGGAGGCGGAGGCTGCCAGGTCCCTGGGAGGCAAACGCAGCGCCGCAGTGGGTGCTGGCAGAGAGCCTAGAGCCGCGCGTCTGAGCGACAAGCTGCCTATGAGTGTGGCTTCTGCACTCACCAAGCTTCGCAGGGAGCTCAGACCTGTCCCCAGTGCTTGAGCAGAGGCTCATCCAGAGGGTTCAGGTGGAGGGCTCCAATGGAGCTTCTCCTGGAACGAGGGGCCCAGTCAACAGGGTGGCTGAGGAAAGTGTCCTCAAAGCTTAGAGTCTGTCACTTCCCAGGTGAATCAGCTCGCCAGGGAATGGAGCTAGATATTTTGTGGGGGTGTTTCCTAAACTCAGTCTCAGGAAAGTTGTTTTCGGGACACCTGGACCAGGGAGTCGCCTCGAGCTTCTCGGTAGCTGGAGTGCTGCCCGGCGCGCAGCGCTGGCACATCGCCCCCACACATGCCCGTTTCCCTTTGCCACAGGCAGGCCGCCTCTGCAGAGCTGTCGCAGGGCTCTGGGCTTCCCTCCCTGGAAGCTGATTGTCCTGCACTCCAGCTGTTTCCCAAATCTTTCCTTCCTCCCAGCACCCCTAGTACAACGACGATTCCAGCTGCGGACCACATCTGTCTCAGTTACTTCGAAGCCACCTACTGCCCCCTCGCGGAGTGCATGGGGCTCCCGGCTCGCAGACTCCCACGGCAAGTAGCAAGCAGCAAAAGGCGTGGTAGCTGCGGCGCTGGAATGAGACAGTTGTCAACAGCTGGCGCAGCTGCCGCGCTGCGCACCGGGACCGGCGAGTACGCAGCCCAGGTACTGCCCCTTCCCAGTGACGTCTCTGCAGCGGGTTATAAAAGCCTCGTGCGCAGCTAACTACCGAGCTGAGCAACCCGAACCGAGAGGTGCCCGCGAAACTGCAGGCGGCGGCAGCGGCAGCAAAAGCGAAGGAAAAATCTCCAGCTGGACACGGAGCTCCAGAATCCTGACCATAGGCTGAGAACTTTTACAGGTCGCGCTGCAATGGGCCCCCACTTCGCTCCTACGTCCTCACGTAGCACAGGGCTTTGCCTTTCCTGGCGGAGGAAGGGGAAATAGGAGTTGCAGGGAGCAGCAGGTGCATAAATCATAAAGGCGGGGATCTCTTGCTTCTTAGAACCATGGCCGGTGGAATTTCTTTCCCTTTTTCAGTTTAACGCAAGAGAGATGCTGTCTCCAGACTTCTGAACTCAAATGCCTCCTGAAGCTTGAAAGTGGAGGAATTCAGAGCCACCGTGGGCAGGCAGGCAGCGCATGCAGAAGCGTTTATATTCTGAGCTCCAGTTCAGCTTTCAAAAAGAGTGCTGCCCAGAAAGAGCCTCCCACCCTCCTGTCCGACTTCAGCAGGACCCTGAGCCCCAGGCGCCAGCCACAGGACTCTGCTACAGAGGGGGGTTGTGTACAGATAGTAAGGTTTTACCGCCTAGCTTCGAAATGGATAACGTCCTCCCGGTGGACTCAGACCTCTCCCCAAACATCTCCACTAACACCTCGGAACCCAATCAGTTCGTGCAACCAGCCTGGCAAATTGTCCTTTGGGCAGCTGCCTATACGGTCATTGTGGTGACCTCTGTGGTGGGCAACGTGGTAGTGATGTGGATCATCTTAGCTCACAAAAGAATGAGGACAGTGACCAATTATTTTCTGGTGAACCTGGCCTTCGCGGAGGCCTCCATGGCTGCATTCAATACGGTGGTGAACTTCACCTATGCTGTCCACAACGAATGGTACTACGGGCTATTCTACTGCAAGTTCCACAACTTCTTCCCCATCGCTGCTGTCTTCGCCAGTATCTACTCCATGACGGCTGTGGCCTTTGATAGGTGAGATTAGCCTTTGTGAAAAGGCAAGAAAGTGCTCATAGAGAACCATGGCATTGCTATGAGGTTTGGGGCTGGATGGGGTATGGGTTAAGGGGAAGGTTGGCCACCCATGCTCTGAGGGTTTTTTGCTGATATCAACTGAGTCAGTTGTTGATGGGAACTTCATCTTATCTATTTTAACATTTTTTCTACTCTTTTTTACCCATCACTAATCTCTCTTCCTTTCAACACACATCCCCCTTTTCTTCATTTAACTCCCCTTTCTTCATCTCTTCTCCACTCATCTTCCCTACACTTTCAACTTCTGCTTTGCTCCTTTTCATATATTCCTTCTCCCCTTTACCCTTGCAGGCTGCAAACAATACCTAGGGCTTGGTCAAAGGACTAGACCCTGGATGGGGCTTTGTAAATTCCTCCCAGCCTATTATTCTGTCAGACAGCCTCTTGTTGCCTTCATGTTTTAAGTACACCTAGAGGATTCTAGAACTTTCTGCTCCCACTGCAACTCTCCAGTATTTTGTTGTTTTTGTTTGTTTGGTTGGTTGGTTGGTTGGTTTTTTTTTTAAATGTGAAATTGCATTTCATCAGTATTATAAGATACTCAGAATTCTAATTCAGTTTACTCTATAATGCTAGGAATTCTCATTCAGGAATGAGAGACAACTATGCTATCCTTAAGAAACTCCACAGATAGGGATCCAGGGAGCTTACCCAAGAGGTGTTCTAAATTTCTCCTACAATGTAAAAGTTATGTATTTAGCCTGTCTCTATCCACAGAGAAACATGCTCGGCAAAGGCATTTGAGAGCTCTTCCATTCCTGCAACCAACAGGTTAGGGTTCCCAAAGCTGATTGAAAGTGAAAAGGTTGGCATTTCAAACACTGGGGCTGGTATTCTGGAATAAATGGCTCTTCAGGTAACATGATGGAAAATTGATTATTGTAGCACAGCTCTATTGGTATTGTCTCCTTTGTGAGTATCTTAGGTCTCCTATGTGTATGTCTATGTGTGCACAGGTGTTAAATGTTTACCTGGGATGTGAAAGTGTGTTTAAAACACCTACCGCTGTGATTTTAAAATGGATTCTTTTGATGTCCTTCCTGAGATAACTGAATGTGAGAAACTCAAAGAAGGAGCTAAGACAAAACTTCAAAAACAAAAATTTCCAAACTATTAACCCTCTTTGCATAAAGATTGTTTATAACTTGCAATTTATTAGAAGCCTTTTTTAGCTCCTGTAGTCAATGAACACTTTTAAAATCAGGGCAATCTTCATTTCCATCCTTTGCAGTGGTGTCCTAATACTGATTTGCTAGTTCCATGTACATCTCTCTATATGCAGCTCCTATGTGCTTACTATGTTTTATGTAAAACAGATTGTGGAAAATCAGTGTATGTTTTAAATGTAGATGGTAAACCAATTACTCAAAGTGGGAGTGAAATGAATTATTTTGCAAATTTATCTTTTGTACTACACTGATTTTCAGATATTCAGTTTGCTGAAAGTGAGGTACACCTGTAAATCTTTCTGCATTGACATGCTCCTTTAATCTCATGACAACTTCCTTAAACTTAAAAAAGTCAATAGCATGATATATAAGTGAATATCTGGGTAGTGAAACCTGATGCTATTTCAGCCTTGATGCCCCCTAAATTAGGGGGAAAGTTTTTTGGGGGAGGGGGTTGTTTGTTTTTTCTGCACTGGGGCTTTGCACAAGCTCTAGGAAGACCTGTCAGTCAGTGTAAGCTGGAGCTTTCAGTAGCTGATGGAGCACCAGCAGACAGTTCTCTCCTTTTGGCTTACACAGAAACATGTTCTGCAGCCCTGATCTTTCCTCTGGAACTTAAAAGGTTAGGGGTGGGGATAAGAGTCAGAGTCCGCACAGCGGATTGGGCAGGGAGCAAGATTTCAGATCCATTGTTGTTTTTCTCCAAGTAAACCATCGCAGAGCCCTGACCCTCTGTGATACCTGCTCAGTGAGATCAAAAGTTCTCAGATGCCAGAGCTTTAGGAAATGACAGCAACAGGGAATGTCACCATGTTTCCAACATACAGATACAGCCCAGGGAGGTTATCAATGGCATGCCTAAGATTAGAGTTCAAGGTAGAATTAGGGATGAGACTTCAGCACTCTGCCAAGTGCTCTTTCTGTTTTTCCTTGCTTAGCCTGGTGAGCACACTATAAACTCATCCCCTCAGGCCTTCCAGTGAATGTATTTCCTACATGTGTGGTCATCCATTCTCTCCTGGCAAGAAAGGAGGATTTAAGTCCTCTCCCTGTAAGTTATCTCTCCTTTCTCCAGCATGGAAATGCAGACTAAGAGGAAATAGTAAATCAGCTGTTTGTATATTCCTTGAATTTTTAACAGACAACCTTTGAATCAAGTCTTTAAAAATAACAGCAATGTGGTTTTCCTGATTGTAAAATTAAACCTGTTCACTGCAGAAGACTTGGGAAATATGAAGAGCACAAAAATCCAATCCCCCTTACCTTACCGACCACAAACAACACCTGCTAATACTTGAATTTCTCTTTTATGACTATTATACTACATAATTGAGGTTAGATTCTATATAATTTTTTAGCCTACATTTTTCCATTGGTATTAATGAAAGACATTAATAACACCTTCCTGTGTTATTCAAAGTTTTCAGAAACATAATCTTAATGGCTTCATACTATTCTATTATGTGAATATGCTATTATTATTTATGTAGTCATTTCTCTACTATTGTGTATTTAGTTCATTTCTAGATTTTTGTGATTATAATTAATAATCTAAGGAATATTTATATGTGATAACTTTGTTTTGCCTTCTTAATTATTTTCTTAGGATAGATCCTAATAAGTAGAATTACTATATCAAATAAAATGAATTTTTAAAAAAGCTATATCTTCTCATATTAAAGGATTTTTAAAGGAATTGTTGGGTCAAACTAACTTTGCCAAATTCCCTGTGAGAACCAAGATATATGCAGAGAAAAAACTTCAGCTGCAGATTGCAATATTAATTTAAATGTTTCCTGTAGTCTTTCTACAAATGGTGGGATAGGGGCAGGGAAGGGAATAAAGGGAGGGGGGAAAGGACAGGAAGAGAGGAGAAGGAGAGGAGAGGGAAGAAAAGCGGGAAATGGGAAGGGGATAGGAGAGGAGAGGAGGGAAGAAATATCTCCGTTAGAAAGAATTTTAGTTTTTTGAAGGCAGTGGTTACCTAGAATTTAAAAATGTTTTAGAGACAAATATAGCTAAATAAGATCAGGTTTACCTCTATGTAAACTCCAACAAATACCAGGGATTTTAGCTACTGAAACTATAATTTCTCTTAGAATTTAAAAATTCTTTACAACTATAAAACTAAAAGGTATATGTGATGTTTCATGAAATTTGAAAATGGGGGACACAGAGAGGTGATGACTCCCCCACAATGTCTTCATTCCCCTAGCCCCCGTTTTCAGGAGTTGGTGACAATTACTGGTTCTATTATGATGCTCTGGCAAGTACTGTGGAGCAGAATCTAAGAAGGGAATAGAGGAAGGGAGGCAATCCCTAAGCCCTGCAGGGAACTGGGTAATGGGCAGCAGATAAACTGATTTGAAACCGTGCACATAACAACAGGAGCAAGGAGGGTTCAGACAAGCAGGGAGGTTCAGACAAGCACTGACCTGGTATCACTGCTTCTCTACCTGGTAGGGCAAGTATAATTTCAGCAAAATGAAAGGTAACAGTTGCTCACTCAGACTCCAAATAGAGATGGTCTCTCTGAGACCAAAACATATAGTTACCCAGAGAGAGTAATGATTGAAGGCAAAAGAGGCATTGAGCTCTCTGAGAGAGCTGATAATGTAAAAGAGGAACCTAGAACAAAAACATGCATATATCACAAAAATTTTGTCCACTGAACTCTGGTTCTACACACTCTGTCCCAGCCATACTCAGCTACCGATTTAAATATCCTGCTTTCCAGGTCTCTATTAGACCTGCAGTCTGTCCTTGAACTTTACCTTGTTGGCTGAACTGCAATCTCATTGTTTATCTCAGAGTAGTCTTTCCTCACCCCACCTGGAGGGGGAATTAAATTCCAGGATCCTTTGCACTAATTCAGATATCCCTGGAAACCCATTACCATGCACTGCTGTAATGCTGTGAATGGCCATTCACTAGAAGCTCATTGGCCACAACTGGCCCTGTCTTTTCCAATGTCAGCACTGATGTGGATCAAAATGGAGTTTGTTAATTCTTAGATGGGTCATTTAGATTTCAGGACCTTTCCTCAGGAGGTTCAATGCCCACCTCCTCTCTGAAGCTGCTCCATTACACTCGCCACACTCTCTCCCGACTCCTGGGAGCCTGCAGTGTCCTGAATGGTCAAGGGTGTTACTTTTTAAAGAAACTGGAAGAAATCATAGTTTGAATTCGACGCAAATAAAGAATAATTTTCAACATAAAAGCACGTAGTAAAAGCACAAGACGCTGTTACTATTATTGTTGCTGAATTAGAATGAGGATCATGAGACAGAAACACCATCAAACTCAGACAAAGCTATTCAGTGTTGATGCCATCAAGGTAAGGTGATGTTTCCTAACTCACAGCCTTGTTTCGTCCCTCAAAGGGCTATATATGAGGGCAAATAAGACTGATTTAGAGGTAACTAAAATATAAGGTATTAAGTAAAATGTTTAATATGGGTTGTACAGTTATATTCTATAGGAGACAAGAGGAGGGACATCTTGCCCAGCAGTGACGAATGATCAAGGAAGACCTCAAGACAGGGCAATTGAGTTGGGCCTTGATGATTAGATAAGATTTTTAGAGAAGATGATAAAAAAAAGAGATGACGTTTCAGGTAGAAGAAGCTGTATGACAGAAGCATGGAAGTCAAATATTGCAAAGTGCCTCGGGTCAGTGACAGACTGAGTCAACTGAAGTGAATTCACAGGTGAATCAGGGAATGAATTGAGGAGTTTTTTGGAAGAAAATGAGAGTACTCTATGTTGAAT